CGGGCTCTGGGCTGATGGCTCAGAGCCTGGAGCCTGTTTCCAATTCTGTATCTCCCTCTCTCTCTGCCCCTCCCCCGTTCATGCTCTGTCTCTCTCTGTCCCAAAATTAAATAAACATTGGAAAAAAAAATTTTTAAAAAAATAAAAATAAAAAATAAAACATAAAACCGTAATCTCCATCTTTTAATTGTTGTTTAGACCATTTATATTTAATGTGACCAACTGTTGATATTGTTAGGTTTATCATTTTTTTAATGTTTATTTTGAGTGAGAGAGAGAGGGAGAGAATGAATGGGGGAGAGGCAGAAAGAGAGGAACAGAGAATCTCAAGCAGGCTCCATGCTGTTAGCGCAGAGCCCGACTTGGGGCTCAGTCTCATCAACTGTGAGATCATAACCTGAGCCAGAATCAAGAGTTGGACACTTAACCAACTAAGCCATCCAGGTACCCTGCCATTGTTTAAATTTTTTAATTTTTTTATTTTAGAGAGAGAACATGTGTGAGTTGGGAGAGGGACAGAGGGAGGGAGAGAGAATCTTAGGCAGGCTCCATGCTCATCGTGGAGCCTGATGGGAGGCTCAGTCCCATAACCCTGGGATCATGACCTGAGCCAAAATCAGGAGTCAGGTGCTCAACCAACTGAGCCACCCAGGCACCCCAATTTTTAAAATTTATTTATTAAAATTTTTTTAACCTTTATTTTTGAGAGAGAGAGAGAGATGAACAGAGAGAGAAGGAGAAACGGAATCCCAAGCAGGCTCCAGGCTCTGAGCTGTCAGCACAGAGCTCAGTATGGGGTTCAAACCCGTGACCTAAGCTGAAGTCGGATGCTTACCTGACTCAGCCACCCAGGCACGCCCCCCCTTTTTTTTTTAACTTTTAGAGAGAGAGAGTACGTACACACAAGCAGGGGAGGGGCAGAGGGAGAGAGAGAATCTCAAGTAGGCTCTACACCCAGCATAGAGCCCCATGTAGGGCTCCATCTCACAACTGTGTGAGATCATGACTTAAGCCAAAATCAAGAGTTGGATACTTAACTGACTGAGCCACCCAGCCGCCCCAGTATAGTTAGGTTTAAATCAACCATCTTGCTGTTTGTTTTCTATTTGTCTTTCCTCTTGTTTCCATTTTCCTCCTTTTCTTTGTCTCTTACATCAGTTGAGTATTTTTTATGGTTCCACTTAATAACCTCTTGATGTTTTTTACTTGTGACTCATTTATTAAAAATTTTTTTTTTACGTTTATTTATTCTTGAGGGAGAGAGAGACAGAGTATGAGTGGGGGAGGGGCAGAGAGCGAGGGAGGCACAGAATCCGAAGCAGGCTCCAAGCTCTGAGTTGTCAGTGCAGAGCCTGATATGAGGCTTGAACTCATGAGCCATGAAATCATGACCTGAGCCTAAGTCGGATGCTTAATTGATTGAGCCACCCAGGCGCCCCATATTTATTAAAAACATTTTTTTAACGTTTATTTATTTTTGAGAGACAGACACAGAGCATGAGCAGGGAAAGGGCAGAGAGAGAGGGAGACACAGAATCCAAAGCAGGCTTCAGGCTCTGAGCTGTCAGCACAGAGCCCATTTCAGGGCTGAAACCCATGAACTGTGAGATCATGATCTGAGCCGAAGTTAGTCACTCAACTGACTGAGCCACCTAGGCACCCTATGACTCTTTTATTTTAATGGTTACTTTAGAGTTTAGAGTATACATCTCTAACTTATTACAGTTTACTTTCAAGTGATTAAACTCATGTCTGATGCTTTTCATTCCTTCGTGGAGATCCACGTTTCCATTTCCACTTTTCTACCTGAGGACTTCCTTTAACTTTTTTTTTTCAGGTTTTGTGTCTAAAAGTCTTATTTCACCTTTGATTTTGGAAGATATTTTTGCTGGGTATAGAATTCTCTGAATGGTTTCTTTTTCTCAGTACTTCAAGATGTTATTTAGTTGTTCTCACCTGTATTATTTTTAGTAAGAAATCTGTGTCATTCTTATCTATTTTTCTTTGTATGTAACAGATCTTTTTCCTCTGGCTCCTTTTAATATATATTTTTTTAATCCCTGCTTTTGAGCAGTTTGATAGTGACATGCCTTGTTGTAATTATTCAGTGTTTATTTGTTTTGTATTAGTTGGACTTTTGGATCTGTAGGCTTATAATTTTTCATCTAATTTGGAAAAATTTTTGCCCTTATATCATTACATATTTTTGGCCTCTCCTACCTTACATGTGTATTAGGGCTTGAAGTTGTCTCATAACTTACTGATGTTGTTTTGTGCTTTTTTTCTCTCTTTTGTGTCCATTTTTCATTTTGGATATTTCTATTACTTTGTCTTCAGGTTCATTGATTTTTCTTTTGCAGCATTTAATCTGTTAATCCCATCTAGTAAATTTTTCATCTCCGATACTTTACTTTCTACTAGTCAGCTTGGTTCTTTTTTATATCTTTCATGTCTCTACTTAATGTGTTCAGTCTTTCATTTTGCTTTTTGAACATAATGGACTAGAGTTACAGCAGCCATCTTATTGTTCTTGTCTTCCAGTTCTATTATTTGTGTCAGTTCTTGGTCTTTTTCTACTGATTGATTTTTCTTATTATGGTTTATATTTTTTTCTTTGCATACCTGTTAAGTTTTACCTGGATGTCGAATATTGTAACTTATTGGGACTAGATATTTTGTATCTTATAAATCCCTTGAACTTTGTGAAGCTGTTAAATTATTTGGAAACACTTTATTCCTTTAGGTCTTAAGAGTTTTGTTAGGTAAGATCAGAGTAGCTTTTAGTTTAGGGCTAATTTGATCCCACTGCTGAAGCAACACCCCTCTGAATACTCTTCCTGATTCCTTGTGAGTAATGAGGTTTTCCACTGTGGTTGGTAGGAACAGGCACTCTTCTCAGCCCTGTGTGAACTCTGATGATTTTTTACTCTTAATCGTTTTGGATGGTGCTTCCCCTGGCCTCCAGTAGTTTCCTCACACCTACACTGATCGGTACTCAGCTTAAGACTTGAGGAGGACTGTCTTACAAATTTACATTGTTCGTTCTCTGTACAGATCTCTTTACTGATAATCTGCCCTGCAAACCTGCCTCACCCTCAGGGGATGCCTTTGATGCCTCCCCAACTCAGGGAGGCTGTGGGCTCCCCCTGGGTTCCCTGCAGTATTGGACTATGCCTTACGCATTCAGTAACAATAGTCGATCTTTTTTGCAGGGAAAGAGGTTGGGCTTGCTCATTCTCCCAGTAGTCTATTAGCAGTAGGTTATGGCCCTCAAGAATAACTGCCACCTCAAGTCATATTGATGAATCAGTCTTACCATGGTGGAATGACTCCAGTAGTATGCTTCAAAGCTGTAACACTACCCTAGACTGAGAAGAAATTGTTACTAAATTGCCCACAGGGCTTTGTATGATAATGTGGCTTGTTTTGGAGATGTTGGGCCAGATACCTCTAAGACTTCATTTCCAAGATGGCAGAGTCTTTTTTGTGTATATTACATATTATCACGTATATATGTTACATATAACATTAATATATGTAACATAATTTATACATAATATATAGTATATTATGTATATATTATGTATATATTATATATAGTGTATATAATGGGATATTATAACCGAAAGTTCTGTGTTATATTTCTGTAGAAATCCCACTCTAGTTAGCCCTGACCCCATCTCCTGGGCTAGCAGAAAGTACAGAAACTCTGAGTGCTCGTGCAGGAGGCATCAGTATTTTTTATTGGTCATTTTGTTGATGACATAAATCAAGAGATTTCATTACTCTTATTTTTACATATGGGATTTGTTTAAAATTCTCCTGTTTAATCCATATCATGTAAACATCAAATAGCTGTTGCTATCTTAGCACAAATCTTCCTTACATCATATTCAAGTATTTTTTGAGTGCTTGTCATGTGTCAGGCCTGTGTTTACACATTGAATAGATGAGTAGAGAAATGACATCTGGAATAGAGGTAATATTCCTACTGTGCTGTCCAGGGTTCAGCCTAGTCTAAAGCAGTGGCTATTTGGTCTCAGATATTTTTACAGTCTTGAAAATTAATAACTCTGAAGAGCTTCTGTTTATGTGAGTTATGTCTGCTGATACCATGTTAATTAAAACTGATATCTTTAATAATAACTTAAGGAAACATGACAGTAATAAGCTTATTTCATATTAAGTAACATTTTTCTGAAAAATATTTATTTTCCAGAAACAAAGATCACAAGAAAACTGGCATTGTTTTACATTTTGCAAATCTCTTTAATGTGTGGCTGACTGTCTGATATTTGAAATTAATATCCTTTCTCCATGCAGGGAAAAAATTTGTCAGTGAGCTCAATGAATTTTCTCCTAGACAGGCATCATAAGTAGTCAAATCATCAGAATATTGCCTAGTGGACTTGGACTCAGAATGAGGGAGTGATCTCCAATAGGGGTACAGCTGCCTGAGGAATTGACTCTTGGCCAGGGATTACCATTCATTTAATAGGTGCTTAATAAATATTTGTTGGATGATTAATAATCTTGGGGAGGTGTTGGGGTTGGTTTCACTGCTGATGCTTTACGTCTTCACTATACTTGAAGCAATAAATTGAGTTGGTGTGAAGTACTTTTAGCTGAAGATGGTTAAACTAGATTAGTGCTGTGAGTCTGGGGAATGGAAAGATTCTGTAGTGATTTCTTCTAGAACTTAATTGTTTTGTGCCATGGCTGTTGCTAGTATAAGTTAATTGATGAAATATGCCAGGTTTAGTGATAATATGTATCACGAGGACCAGCACACTATTGAAAATGTCATTAAAACCAGCTAGTACTTTAGTGAGTACTTAAATATCAGCTAAACTTTGATACACGTGTCATGACAAAAAATCTTACAGTATGAAGTTATATAGTCTGCTTAAGATACAGCAGAATCCCCAACATTTGGTTTTCCTTTCCTTCAGTTATCTTCAATTGTTCTGAAGCACAAGACCTCTCAAACCACCGTAGATATGGACAAAGAAGAAAGGAAGACTATCAACCAAGGTCAAGAAGATGAAATGGTAACCAATTTTTATAATTTACTTGTAAAGTGTGAAGAGTTTATCTCTGTAATTTATTATTCCAGGGAAGTAGAAAAGTACGTTAGAGAGAAGAAAAAAAAACAATGCTAAATCAACCTGCTTTCCTCATCCTGAATGTGCTTTTGACTTGGGATTATGTAACATCTCTATTTGTTGGTTTTAGTATAATGCCTGTTTCACTTGTGGATTGTTAATACTAGAGAAGTATGCTTTTTTTATTTAGTAATTTAAGAAGCTACATTAGCTAATACTTATATATAATCCCAAATATAAGATTTCTAATTTTGATTTATAAAAAAGGCACTCTTAGGGTGCCTGGCTGGCTTAGTTAGTATAGCATATGACTCTTGATCTTAGGGTCCTGAGTTCAAGCCCCACATTGGGCATGGAGCCTACTTTAAAAAAAAAAAAAAAGGTTTAAAATCAGCTTAATAATAAAAAGCACTTTTCAACTCTTTGTGTGTGGCGGGGGGGAGGGGGAGGGGTGGGGGGCGGGGGGGGGGGGGGGGGGGGGGGGGGGGGGGGGGGGGGGGGGGGGGATGGGATTAGGTTATCAGGTAAAATAAGACACTATTAAATGTGAATTTCAGATAAACCAAGGAATAAATTTTTCATATGAGCGTGTCCCAAATATTGCGTAGGGCAAACAAAAAAATTCATCAATTTTTTGTTGAAATTTAAATTTAACTAGGCCCTCTGCATTTTCATTTGCTAAATTTGGCAGCCTTTGTTAATTATGGTGGTGAGGGGAGTAAACTAGAACAATTTAAATAATTTGGGTCAGGAGGTCAGATTGATCAGTCACAGCAGTATTGAGACAATTAGCTAATTATTTGGGAGAAACATAAAGTTAAAACCTACTGTACCTAAATGCAGTGTGGTATTATGGCTTATATCCTGGAACAGAAATAAGACAGTGGAAAAACTAGTGAAATTCTAATTAGAGACTAGTTTTAGTTAATTGTAATGGGTCAGTGTCAATCTCTTGATTTTGACAAATGTATCAAGTTAATGGGAAACTAGATGGAGGGTATACAGGAACTTTTAATGTTTTTGTAACTCTTCTGCAAATCTAAAATTATTACAAAATTAAAAGTTTATTTAAAGAAACCCTACCTTTTAGGGTGCCTGGGTGGCTCAGTCAATTGAGCGTCCAACTTTGGCTCAGGTCATGATCTCATGGTTCATGAGTTCGAGCCCCGCTTCAGGCTTGCTGCTGTCAGCGCAGAGCCTGCTTTGG